AAGCGTTGTTGTTGATTGGTCAACTAAAATCAATATGTCATAAGAGTCGACTGAGGGACTATACATTTTACTAGGGATAAACTTCACACTACTGCGGCTGATGTCACTGCTGTGTGGAATGTACGAATGTATATTTTGTGCGGGGCGGCGGTGTTTATTGTATGTGTACAGGAGGGAGAAGAAAGTCACATACTTTGTTAGTAAAATTATGAAGTATGAACATTTGAATAACATATCATCAAACCTTTTATCCCCGAAGAGGTAGGCAGAGGTGCACATTACAGCACTTAATGCCACTGTACAATGTAACACCCACTTTTCACTATTTATGTTATGAGTCCCATGTAATAGGGGGGTAATCCTATTACATCAGAACTCTCTTAAAATATGAGATTATTTTAACCTCACATGTTATATGATAGGGAAAAACCACCTTGAGAACATACAACCACTTACTTTTACATCTAGACAAAATGTAAAACATTCACACTTTGAAAATGTGCTATCTATTTCTTACAACATGTGTTTTACCAGCCAGACCAACGAATAAAACTCGCAACAAAATCGACTTACATACCAGAGGAGGAAACACATTTCAATACTAAACACTGTACGGAACTCTATACATCTCGCTGGAGCATCTGGGCCCCAAGTTATAATCGGAAAAAAGTACTGAGCTATGCCATGAAACGAGGAAGTTCCAAGTAACCAAAGTTTCCACGACACTCCACTGTAGCTGGACTTTTAGTTGGTTTTTATGAAGTTTTTCAACGGAACCCCAGTTTTATCTTGGACTCGGGATCTTTTTGAAGTAAAATTTGTTATTAAGAATTTGCTGTTGAATGTTTGAACGTTGACAAAGACTTGGATGTTTCGGTTCGGTTGATAATGATCGACTTACTTATTTCGTTGTTCGTTCTGTTCACGGTATTTTAAGATCCCTTGTTTTTTGTAAAAGAAAGTAATAATTGTCTTTGTTCGGTTTTTCGATTGTTTTGTATGAAAATTGTTAAGTATTATTCGGTTCGGTTATAAGACTTTTTGGCATTGTTTAAACGGTTTAAATTTATTTTATTTTATATTATATTGATACTATAGATTCAGGTTCTTTGTTTATACATTTATGTGAGAAATGTATCATACATTTACAGTTTCATTTTATTTCATTTGGGAAGTAAGGCGATTCAATGATATTACGGACCAAGCGTTGGTCTATGTATTAATGTGAAAATTTATCATTTTTTTACTATAACACCATAGAAAGAAAATGCATGTTTTTACCCTGTTTAAAAGTTCACCAATAAGATCTCAAGTCACTTCTATAACCTAAATTCAAAATGGCGGATTTCCTTTAACTACGTATCTAAAAATTCTTCTAACATAATGCATGTTAAAACTTCATGCAGTGTACACTGTACATACTTATTTATAGTTTTATTGTCGCCGTGGGAGCTAAGTTTCGGATAAAAGAAACTTGCACTCGCCTAAGTTTAGTAACCACGTACACATAGTTGTGCTTAGAATGTCGTGTACCGAGTTCCACTTTACAGCACTCGATGTATCGACGTTACTTGTGTACGAGACAATTTTGTTAAAGAATTTTGTTTAAATTTTTTGTTGTAATGCTTCTGACTGAACTGTTGACCCAAACATTGAACTTATTCCTCTTCTTGTTCGTCTAGAATTTTATTGATGAAACTTCTGATAATGTTATGACTAATTGGGTAAATATGTAGATACCTATGCGGGATGAAACCTTTGTCTAGCAGTGGACGTCTTCCGTCTGATAATGATGGTGATGATGATGATGAAGATATGTATGCTGAAATAGCTTCTGCCCGCGACTCTGTACGCGCAATCCCGTTTTTTCCCACTCCCTTAAGATTTTCAGGATTTTTTTTCTATCACAAGAACCTTCTCCTGACAATAACAAACACAACAAAAAAAGTCTTTCAAATCGGTCCAGCCATTCTCAAGTTATGGCGTGACAACGGGAAAAGGGTTTCATTTTTATATAAGTATATAGATAGATTAGTTACTGAAATACCACCACATAAACTTTTGTAATTGTTAACAAAAGCTTCAGTTAAAAATCGCAATGATAAATGTTCAATACTACCTGAAAAATTTGCATGGAATCAACACGTTATCCCAAAAATTCTCCCTGAAGTCCCACCCCATCATAGTTATAATGAGCCACAATAAATTACAAATAACCACAGCCGATAGTGGCAAGGGTCATCGCACTAAACGACTGCGACCGCAACAAAGTGGTCGCTGGTCGCAAACCGGTCGCTATGAACTATCAGTTGCACTCGCTACAAAGAGATCGCCACAACGCCAACCGCATCATTTAAAATAGTGCTTCTTTATTTATTGTATTGAATTTTATTGTGTTGTATTGTATGATATTTCACTATCTTTGTGTGTTTTATTGGGAATCGAATTGAATTATTATGAAAGAAATTAATATTAATTGAATTCTTGACTACTGTGACGAATCTTTAATGTTTTATTACAATGGATATATTGTCATTGTAATAACAAGAAATGATGACAATGATACTATGAATTTTCGGAATATAAATAATTTATTTGATCATGAAACGCTTACCGTGACAATATATTTGACTCCTTCATTCATTTTGTCCACGTTTGCATAACATGAACCTTCAATAATTTCATCGGCTCAACAGGCATGTAGTGGCATCAATAAATGCAACAAAAAGAAAATATACATAACCTGAAAATAGGTCACATATGTACATGTACGACGCACGACACAAAAGCAAACAGTCGGTAAAAAGGCGATTACCTGCAAATCATCTGCCACCCCCACGCATTGACACTACTTTCCATCATCCATCTATCACCCGCAAGTAAAATCACTACAACTAAGGGTGCGTACAGATTTACTAACATGTTATATAACTTGTGTTTTATAACACGACCAAATTTTTTATGGTATATTAACTGGTCATTTGATGGTAAGCAATCAGCTCCATGGGCATCCGCAACACCAGGAAAGTTAAAAGGAGTCACAGGATTGGCGATTTCCAACCCATTGGACATTTTCACTGATTGCCTCGTTGGCCGAGTGGTCGCAAGTGCGCCTGCCGGGCAAGGCGTCTCGGGTTCGACTCCCGGGTCGAGCAAAGTATTACTGGGTTTTTAAAAGAAATCTCAGTAGTAGCACGGAGTCTGGAAATGTGCCCGGTATATGGCAATAGGCTCACCCCCTATTACATGGGGCTCATAACATAAATAGTGAAAAGTGGGTGTTACCTCTGTGTGCACCTCTGTCTACCCCTTCGGGGGTAAAAGGCGTAATATTATGTAATGTTACGTGGACATTTTCAGCCTTGCAACATTATAACAATACTGTTCAAAAATGAATAACAACGTTATATTATAACAATATTGTGTTATGTTTTAGTTGGTTGTTCGAGATTGTATAAACGAATAGATATTTTATAACAATCAGCATCTATATACCTCTATTTACAACATATTATGTTATAAAGGTAATCTATACACACCTTAAGTTAAAGGAACGAAACGCTAACATAATACTACGCGACAGCCCTGTGATGTATAGCCACAACCCACGGGGGTGAAACTTTGAGCCCGCTAAAATCCCAAGGGTTGGAAACTAGTCGTCGGTAAACAAAAAACTGTGAGGTTTTTTGTTCGGTCTTGTTTGTGCGACATACGGATGTAGTGGTTGAAATGCATTGCGTGTGCAGAAGATTTTATTTATGTGGGGACGACTTTTGTGGGATTGAGAATGAGAATTTATTAATCAAGTTTCGAAATGGTAATAGTATAACCTACTTTAATTTATAAATATTGATAAGACGTATTGTAATAAAAAAAATATGAGAAGTGCACGAACCAAGAGTACGTGGAGAATTGGGTAGTTTCCAGGGTATCAAAATTAAAAATCTTATTAGTCCGTCAGTTAGATAATGAAAAAAGACACGTATTTTTTTATTTTTTCGTAATAAGTTGCAATACTTAAATAAAGTGGCGCTAAGTTTAGGAGTGGGAGGTCGTTACGTCATAACGTGCTACAAAATGTGGCACGCTATGACGTCACTCGATATTTCAAATTAAAGTATCGTCGAAAGTGTTTAATTTTATGAGAAAAGAAAAAATACGTGTGTAAATGTTTAAATTAATGTACCAGACGAAAATTACAATAAAATTTAGGAAACTACCCTATTAATATGTAACATTATAAAAAAAATGGTAGTAGTGTAATGATGACATTAAGTAGTAAAAATTTAAAAGTATTCGGCCTTTCTACATACCAATTTTGCCAATTTTTTAACGTAAGTAATTTAGCAGCGATGTGGAACGATGTGTCCTAAAATGTTGTCTAAATAAATAAAATGACAATAATATATACATCTATAAAGACAGCAATAAAAATGACTTCACGGTTGGCGCGGTGGCTGGGCAACTGGCTGCCGCGCAACGTCTCGCGGGTTCGATTCCCACACGGAACAACTCTTTGTGTGATCCACAGATTGTTTGTTCCGGGTCTGGGTGTCATGTATATGTGAACTTGTATGTTTGTAAACGCACCCACGACACAGGAGAAAATTCTAGTTTGGGGCTTATTTAAAAAAAACAAAAAAATAACTCACTACATCAGAGACAACTCAAAACAAATTCAGATCACACTTTCAACCGAATAAAAACAACAAACAATCACTATTTATACTTTGTACAACAAAACAACACAACTCCACCACTCATATTACAAGTACTTAGCAAGTTCAACACTTGGGCGACGCGACGTACTCAACAATTTAATTTATTAACACTCAGAACTTACATTATTCACCGTCTTAAGTTTAAAGCTAGCCCTTATAACTTACAGCACTTTGTACGCACCTGATACCAGGGCCACATAAGTGACAGATGGGTTCAAACTCCATTAAGCGCCAAGTTGGGAGTGCTTAAAAATTAATACATGAACGAATATAGCTGGGATGATTGTATTTAAGTGCCTGAGTACCTACTTTACAGTGTGCATTATTGATTCAGGTGTGAGTACGGTTTTATGCGTGGGTGACTATCGAGGTGGAATTTATTTTGATGTAGTGTGTAACTGTGTATATGCTTTGCATTCCTGGAAGGGGTTGATTTATGTTAAATTATCATATACCCGATTGCAGGGGATGACTTTATAGCATAATAATCCTCCATGCTCTGCCTCGTTGGCCGAGTGGTCGCAAGTGCGACTGCCGGGCAAGGGGTCTCGGGTTCGATTCCCGAAGTATTACTGGGTATTTTAAAAATTCTCAATAGTAGCACGGAGTCTGGAACTGTGCCCGGTATATGGCAATAGGCTCACCCCCTATTACATTGGACTCATAACATAAATAGTGAAAAGTGGGTGTTACATTGTACAGTGGCATTAAGTGCTGTAATGTGCACCTCTGCCTACCCCTTCGAGGATAAAAGGCGTGATGTTATGTTATGTAATCCTCCATGCCGGTTTCGGCTACGGTGACCATTTCATGACTACTGGCCTCTATCATGGGCTTTAAGTGGCTGGAAAATCCACCTTTGTTTATAAATATTCTTCCACAGATTGGACACGTTAGTTCACCATAAACATAGTTATAGTTAATTGTCGCTGGTGGTCGGGCTTACATTTTGTCACGTTTAGCATCTAGCTTTGCAAGCATATAGTATATAGCAAATATAAAATAAACTAAACAATGCCTTAATAATACATTTGACTGCACTGTTGGTGCGGTGGCTGGGCAACCGGCTGCCGTGCAACTTGTCGCGGGTTTGATTCCCGCACGGAACATCACTTTTTGTGATTCACAGATTGTTGTTCCGGGTCTGGGTGTTATGTGTATGTGATATTATTGTATGTTTGTAAATGCACCCACGACACAGGAGAAAATCCTACTGTGGGGCAACGTTTGAAAAAATACTAAGTCCAAACACGTCTGTTTTTAAAAACTAGAAACATATTTTAGCTCTTTGATATTACCCTAAAACAGGGTGTCCTTTATTTTGTTTTGAGTAGTATATATTTTGCTGACTCGTTAATTTTACTATAACACCTTTATAACTCGAATACTATAACGTCATGTACATTATCATTAGATATAAAAGGCAAAGACCTCACTTTACTTTTCCACTCCACAAAAGTCCACTTTCTGTAATGATTATGACTAGATAGGACCTAATATTACATACAATTCCAAACTCTATCCACAAAGTATTAAAATTCAATCTCCAAAATGTTAAGACGATTCTACTTAACATATAATCAATTTAATTTACAGCAGCATTTCTTCTTTATAAGGATGGAGTCCCAAATTCCTTTCAATGACTCATAATATAAGTTAGCTAATTGAATTATCCGGTACCAAGGGAATCACGATGAGATTATACGGATGTTAATTGATAAGGCGAAGATATTTGGTTTATCTTCTGAAATATAAGTGGATCAGTTTCTAAAGCACTTACTTATATATACGTAGGTACGGACTTATGATAATCGTAGATAGATAAAAGTGATCTCTATCTACTAAGATTTACAGTAAGTAATCCTAAGACTGCCTTGTTGGCAGTGTGGTCGGGTTCAAAACACGGGTCGGGCTAAGTATTACTGGGTTTTTTTTAAAATATCTCAGTAGTAGCACGGAGTCTGGAAACGTAGTATATTATCAATAGGCTCACCCCCTATTACATGGGACTCATAAAATAAATAGTGAAAAATGGGTGTTACATTGTGCGTACCTTCAGTAATATATTAAGAAATGTATTAAGACACGTCGCGACTAAAGGAGATGGCGGTACGAACTGGACATCTATGACAAGAATTGGCTGCAACATGGTTTATAAAGAGAGGATTGGAAGGAGAGAGGGCTTTGCCATGCATGATCATGTCTGAAAATAAAAAAAAAAAACAAAACTAAAATAAATAATATAGTTTTGCCAAACCGTATTCAGCTAGCAATTAGGCACATCTGTTTGATTTTCATTAAAAAAATATACCAATCTACGCGTGTGGTACGTTAGACTTTCCAGTTGATTTCGTTTTCAAAGGCGACTAAATATTTGTTTAATAGCAATTTGATCACGTTATGTTAATCAATCATATATTTTAGCACAAACAAACTCAAACGCAAATATAAAATCAAACGGACAAAATAGGTAAACTAATAATTTGACAAAATATTTTCATTTAATTCATTCACAAACATGTCGTACAAACAACCAATAATTGGGAATAGAGACTTTTTTAATATCCGACTGGTAGATTGTTCAAATATTGACTATAGGTAATTTTTTTCTTCAGTTATGAAATCTAAAACTTTGAAATAATTTAACTAAAATCGCGGGTTACTCACGTGAATATACTCGTTCGAAACTAGTAGAGCTTTTCTCAGTATATTCACGTGAGTAACCCGCGATTTTAGTTAATTTAGTATGTCTCACGATGGTTATTATAAAAACATAACTTTGAAATATTTTATGATGTCCGCGTCTTTCTACATTTTATGCTCAGCGGTGACTTTGTTAGCTTCCACTTCTGGACTTACATTCTTAAAGTATTGTTTCTTATAACGCCAAATAAAAAAACAAGGTGATTATCATTCTCCATCATTTAACTGACGGACTTAGGGGTGACTTTTTAATCATCAGTTAACTCTTAACTGTAGAATAAAATTGTAATTTATGACAGTTCTTAGTATGGAAGAATTGTCAAATATTCAAATTTATTTCTCAGTAAAAATTTATCTGGTGTTGAAATTATAGATATTTTTTAATCAAGACTGTCTCATTGGCCGAGTGGTCGCAAGTGCGACTGCCGGGCAAGGGGTCTCGGGTTCGATTCCCGGGTCAGGCAAAGTATTACTGAGTTTTTAAAAATCTCAGTAGTAGCACGGAGTCTGGAAAAATGTGTCCGGTATATGGCAATAGGCTCACCCCCTATTACATGGGACTCGTAACATAAATAGTGAAAAGTGGGTGTTACATTGTACAGTGGCATTAGGTGCCGAAATGTGCACCTCTGCCTACCCCTTCGGGGATAAAAAGGCGTGATGTTATGCATGCTATGCTTTTAATCAAGCTAGTTTCGTATACATAGTACCGTGTTTTCCGAAACCCTTGGATCAAAAAAAATCTTAGTCCGTCTTCTAGTCCTAAACTACGACCCTTCTAAACTTTAGAATTGATTTAATCGTTCTTGAGTTATAAATAGCGTAACTAACAAGATTGTCTTTTATATATATATGACATTTAAAAAAAAATATCATCGTCCAATCGATATGTCGATACTTGAAAAAATTTAATCTGATTTTTGTACCCACTCAACATTCCTATTGGTCCAATATACCGTACATAACTGCATAGTTAATGAAACTATCATTATGCAAACATCATACGTCGTCCAAATTGGCCTTTTGGCGTAAACTAACGCCAACAGTTGGCCAAACTCGGCAGCTGTGTGCGCCCAATGACAAAGTTTGCGGATTGCAGAGCTTACTACTCTATGGTATAAGTGGAGTTCAGCAAGTTCACTTTTTTTATTTAGGATGTTTGTTGTATTCACAGATCGTGTGGTGAAACGTTTAATAAGTTTTCATATAAAAAATAATGTATATTTATTTTTAAATAAAATTCTACACAATATTCAAATAGCACAAAACGTGTGAAGATGGAAACATTTTGTTTTTTTTTTCAAATATTCAAAGGGTTTTGTTTCAGAAAGAAATTGATGTGATTGTACCTTTAATATTAGTTGATATCTTGCCCAAATTCACATCCAAGTATAAAATTATAATTATTCATCATAAATATGGGTATTATATTGTGTATTACTAAAAAAAAATTCTTATATCTAAGACCAGCTAACTCCACAATACCACAAACATCATATTGCGAACAGTAAACACTTTTTTATTAAACTTGGCAGTCTGGATGCATTGCCTTTGCCACCCCGCGTTCTAGTGACAAATATATATGAACTAAGAACCAGAGTTATTGCCCTGGGCGCAATGAGCTACTACCCCCGTCTACTTGAAATACGTTCAGGTTTTCTTCAACTTTAAAATTAAATCTTTTTTGTGAGTCCTTTTAAAATAGTCTGAAAGAACGATATTTTTGTTTCGCTGATTTTTTCTTTTTTCTTTGTAAACAGGACACTTTAATTGCTTTCCCTTTATTGGTGGCTACGTTTTTTATTTTAATACTTTAAAATAATTATGGCAACACTGTTAAACATACATTAAAACATATGTGAAACGATACTCTTATGTTCAAACTCATTTTAAATTAAGAAAACACAACCACCGAAAAAAAAGAAATCTGACATAAAATGAACGCAAAGTTTGAATTCAAAAACAGAACTCAAAAGAGTAACATGGCGTCAGCTATCGTGGCAAAACGTTGACTTGTGACTTGACATCAACGTGAAAATTCCCGATTCATTATCAAGTCAGACGTTTCGTAATTACTATTCGAGTTTTATTCTTTTTACGACAATTCCAGACGTTATAGTGCTGCCATTTCTATAGCATATACATTTAATGGTGTATTTTAATAGCTTTTACTAGGAACGCTAGCGTTAATGACTCCATTCTCATATAAAATCTGTAATGTCGGGTTTTAATGAACACTATGCTTTTGTTTATTGAATTATTTTAATTGATTTTCTGTGTGCTTCGAGTGAGATTGTGTTTCAAAAGGTTTTCCTATTTATTTGAATAGAATAAAGAAAATAAAGCATTAAATTTTTAAACATAGCAAAAAATGAAACTGTTTCCGTGAATATTATTTCATACATTTTTGTTTTTGTTATTGCTAGAAATATAAGAATCATTTTTTGTTCATTGAAACTGAATATGATTCAATAGAAATGAATTAATACACATTTGAACTGTAGTAAAAGTACCTACTGTATTTAAAAGAGAAATGGATTGAATATCTAATTGAAAAAGAGGATACTATTAATTTTATACTTTTAAGAATGACTGTAATTTTACAATTGGTTTCTACAATAGTTTTCATCTCGATTATTCTAGAAGAACGTTTCCCTCTATTTAAAAACTACTAAGACTAATTAGCCTTATTATGTTTGTTACAGATTCCAAACGAGACCATTGCAACAAGACGGTGGAGATATACGAGGACGTGTCATCTCCTCCTGTCACTTCTGAGAACTTCGGGAGGCCCCTCACTTGCACATACAGGTATTATTCGTAGTATTATTAATTGCAAAAATTAATAGTATTTCATTGGCTGCCGTGTTTGTCAAGTGGTCAATATCAAATTCAAATTCTTTAGTGCGTTCCACAATGTTTTACTTAGGTGGTAGGTAACATAAAATAATACAGATCATTGTGGACAGGGCATACCAAGGAAACAAATTAGCATTTCAGAATATTTCATAACAGCAATAGTTGATTTAGGAATGTTCGTTTCAATTACTCAATGGATAAAAACAATTTATGATTTTCGGTTTAAAAAAATCTGATTATGTCGCGAAACATATGAAACTTGTAATTAATTAATAAATATAAAGTTGATCACTGAACTTTAAACTCTATTCGTTGATGATAAGGATTAAAATCTAGAGTACATATACAGATAACTTGTAATTAGCAAGATGTGTGTGGTACATTTGCATAACTCTATATTAATCGTCGCAATCGTAATCGATATAATGCAATCGGGCAATGCTGTGAAAAATTTTGACCTGAATATGGAAACAAACCACCATCGAAGCCTTAACTTAATAACATTTTTCTTCAATAGAAATCAGCAATCACTAACAATGAATAGACTAAGAGCATCGAACAATTTCCCCATAGCATCACAAGATAAATAATATTTTATACCCATCAAAATGTAGGTCAGTCGCTTACCGACTTTCCCGAAGTTTACACGTACTCTGAGCATTTTTGCCATACAAAAGAGTGATGATTGATGTTATTTGAAGAAAGTTGTATGCTCTTAGCGAACACAGGATCAAAAGAAACTACAAAGTGTGGGAGAACATAAAAACTGTATTAGACCGACGAAGTCAGTTAAGAAGTGATATGGGATAGTACTTTGGGAGTTACGTGAGCCATTTTTGTTTGCTTGTGGTATTTTTGTTTTTATTTATGTGTAGTTTTCTAGTTTTGTAGGTCGTCTAGTGCTTGTATAACTAAAGGACTCGTTGGTCGAATGGTTATGAGTGATATTTAAGAGAATATTCGTTTTAATCTAACGGTATCGTTTTGGTAAGATTGGATTATAAATATAATTGTTTTTTAAACTACGGTTCAAAAAGCCAAGTTCATTATTTTATTCTCTCTCTCTCTCTCTCTCTCTTTATTTAAATTCAATTAATTAATTTACTAAAACCTTCACCTAAGTGTAACAAATACTTTTCTAAAAATTGCATAGTAATCGATTAAGCCAATCAGATATGTATACATACATACATAAATATATTCATGCAGGTCAAACTGTGAACCTCCTTTTTCTCTTTTTGAAGTCGGTTAATAACTATTAATAGAAAAATGGAATATTTGTCTGCTTGTCACGTTTTTACATTTCAATTTATATTAACAAATTATGATTATAGTCCTTGAATACAAAGATTACGCACAAAAATCCACTGATCCTTGAACACTTACACATAGGTACACATTCCTATAAAAAATTGTCATGATTAATAATTTTCTCACACACAGGAACTAAACGATAACGAAGCCTGAGGCATTTTCGTCGGAAATAATACCGATGATAAATTGAAGTAATTTATAACAACCAATATTGTGCGAAAATAATACTTTCAGCTTTTCTTTGGTTTAGATAACAATAAATGATACTTATGTGATGAGAATGAATCTTACTTCAAATATTTTCTTTTTGTTCAGGTTTCGAGCCTTTCGCGGGTCTCCAAAAGATTGGATACTAAGGATTAGATTCAAAAAGTTCAAAGTCGGGACCTTGATCAACGGTACGACGTGCCACAAGGGATACATGCAAGTAAGTACCTGGAATCGAAAGTAGATACCGTGGAAGAATGATCTTTAGAATTCCATAAAATATGTTTTAAGAACTGTGTACCGTCTGAATATTCGGAAATACAATGCTAGTGTAAACCAGTGAATTCTTCTATGCATTATTCCAATTATATTTTAATTTGACTGCACCGTTAGCGCGGTGGTTAGACAACTGGCTGCCGCGCAACGTGTCGCGTGTTGGATTCCCGCACGAAACAACTCTTTGTATGATCCACAAATTGTTGTTTCGGGTCTGGGTGTCATGTGTTATGTGAACTTGTATGTTTGTAAACGCACCCACGATACAGAAGAAAATCCTAGCGTGGGTCAACATTCTATAAAAAAAAGAAGAAAAAATGACTTCAAATCAATCAACAATATAGGAAATTTGAAGAGTAATTTACAATTTTTAATAAAACGATCTCATCCGGCCTCTTAACAACAGATGTCTACGATGAAAGAATAGATTTAATAATTCTTCTTTCCCATTCAAAATCGTCTCGGAAGGAAACGATGAAAAGTGGAGAAAAGCAATTGGTAAAACAAAAAGTTTTAAGTCATCAAGTCGTGAAAATCGGCCGCCATCACGGGTACTACTAATTGAGTCGGCGTACGCTTTCGAAATTCTACTAATTAATTTTTGAACTCGTCTGACGGGTGAAAGAACTCGGAACTCGGAGCGATCCAATTTGAGCGTAATTATTGAATCATTCTACGTTTGTAGATTTGCGAGTTTACAAACTCGACGAGTTTAGAATTCCAGTGTGATTTCGATTTGTAATGTTTACGCATATTTGGAATCGTGCGGATATTAGCTGTAATCGTTATTAAATTAATGAGACTTTAATTAGCATAATATTTTGATGCGAATAATGTTAATGATAATAAGTGTAAATATTATTTACATTGGTAACTCAGAGTTGTTGTAATATATTCTGCTCAAAGTAGGTTAAATTACAAGATAAATTATCATAAATTATATGACTGCCTCGTTGGTCCGGTATCCCAAGATTCCCGGGTCGGGTATCTTGTCGGCAAAGTACTACTGTTTTTTTAAAATATTCTCAGTAGTAGTAGCACGGAGTCTGGAATTGTGCTCATACCGGGCAATAGGATTACTAAGTATTACATGGGAATCATAACATAAATAGTGCAAGGTGGGTGTTACATTACACAGTGGTATTAAGTGCCGTCATGTGCACCCCCGCCTACCCCTTCAGAGACAAAGGGCACGATGTTATGTTATAAATTATGACAAAACTAATGAAAAAAGAGAAGACGAAATAAAATTAACAACATTGTTACAATAGTAAATATTTTACCAATTCAATTTAGAGAAAAAAGAAAGAAGATATTTTAGAAAAGCTAGCTTAAGTTAAATTTACGAAAGAGGTGAATCGAACGAGAATGAATGGAGACGTGGGTAAAGGGCGCTGTAGATGAACATTCGGCGACCGAATTAAAAAGAGCAAAATTACACGCACTCGCAGCCGACGAGCGTGCACAAAGAGATTAATGAATGTTCAAGGAAATACGTATGCCAGAATCAGGAGATTTAGAATTCCATTATGATTGATATTTTATGTCCTTGTATGCGTGGACTTGTATTGTGAAAGCTTTTGTAAAAAACATTGTCATTGTGTGATTTCCTTGTACAAAATTTTGGGTTCATGTAGTTTCTCACATTCAAATTATAATTTAATATTAGAGGTAAATTGAATTTGAAGTCGATGATATCAGAAATGTATTAAAATACCTTATTGTTATTGTAGACGAAAATACATGAAATGAAGGTAAATATTTCGTAACTAATTTACAAAACTTCACAGATAGTGGACGGCAACGCAAAGACGGATGTTTCAAACAGGAAGGAGCCAGGTCTCTTCTGCGGCGAGATAGAACAGCCCCAGACGTTCATATCGGAAACCAACTTCGTGAAGATTGTCTTCCACGCCGACAACTTCACTGATCAAACTTACTTTAGCTTCGATTCCAGGTCAGTGATCATGTTAAAGGGGGTAATTTAATATAGAACTAAAGGGTAGACTAGGTTTTAAGTTGGAAAATTTTGTTCAACAACTCCACCGAAGTTGGTTGACAAAGTACTTTCGATATTAGTTTCAAATTCAATTATGACTTTTAGAGGAGTATTGTGTTAATAGTTGCTTGTTGTCATAGAATATTATATAGTCAATTTAATTTTGGCTTCTATCTAGTAATTAGATACAGAACATGATTGAAATAACTTTGTGTCTATTTTCGTTTTGGAATTTAAGTTGAATAAGCCTTCGACCCAAGTATTTACAATTTTACCCCTTAAAATACAAATTAGTACATTCAATATTAGTTTGAATATCAAATATTAACTGAAAAACAAATGATAGGTATGTTACATTCCATATTATTCCATAGAAGTCTCAAGTTTTTACACTTAATTTCCTTTGCAGAGCGGAGCAACAATTTGAAGTGTATCTACGCTACGGGCAACATCCAGAATTGTACCCCAACCGAAGAGGGGAGGTGGTTGCGGGGTATGTACATATTTAGAGTTCACCTCTCTATTGATGTTAATTGAAGAAACTTTAATGTCTAATTGATGTAACGAAGTAAAGTGTAAATGTTTGAAATACAGTTCGAGATGTAGAATCAAATAATGAAGTTGCTGATGGTGTAAACGAGAGTGGAATGAAACATAAGCAGTTTGTAAAGAGTCAGTTAGATGATTTCGCACTTTGGAGTTGTGTGGGTAATGTCGATTTCATTTCTAGAGAGTTGTATTTCTGACAAATGTGCATAAAATAAGCGATTAAGTCGGTTGCAACTTTATACCTATGAATATATTTGATGAAATATTATAGCATTTGTCAGCTTCATTAGGAAAAGCCTGTGAAACACACAGTCATAAATTACATTTACAATTTAGTACAGTCTTTATTCAATTTAAGCACAACATTACGTAAGGTTACGCGAAGAAAGTTAAGATTAATGATGATAAATAAAGAACAAAGAATTTACAAAACAAAATTACCTCGTTGCCTCTCATTTTACATACGCTAACGAGATCTAATAATAGAATTATTTGAGATACACCTACGAACTCGCAGAGGGAAACAGGACCCCTGGCAAACACAAACCTTCGACTATACAAATTGCCTCAAAGATTATTTTTATCGTAATCAGATACAACATGAAACAAAACATACGGGGTCCCACAAGGAGGCGTCCTCGGCCCTGACTTTATTTAAATTATTTGCCAAATTGCGATGCCGACTTCAAAGGGAATTCAAACGTACGTGATGAACATTTTAAAGCAAATCGTTTGGAAAAGCTATTCGGCATTGTCTGCGCCTCTCAGAGAGATCGATTCTGTTTTCAGTTCAGAATGAATGTTTTGAATTGGAAAGATCACGTTTATGCTTATTGTAGTGTTGAGCTGGTTCGTAGTAACACCTTACCTTGAAGGTGAAGGTAGGAATAATATTATAAGATTTTTGAAAGCTACGTACCTATATTGTGGAACTCTGTGAACTTAATGGAATTATTGAAGTCTTAAGGTACTACGTTGCTACCTCATGATCAATGAACACGACTTATGCAATATCTAAAAACAATTAGGTAAATTTTGTAGAATATGACTCTAAATGCGACTGAGCCGGTAAAAAACCGATGTACTGAAATTTTCCCAGTGAAACTGAAGCCCATAACTTGTAATTAATTGAAATTGATACTTACGCTTAAAACATATTAACGCAAATTTTAATATCACCTCATAAAAGATATAAAAATAAATTACCCTTTAATAAAAACGGTAAATTTATTAAAATCTGAGTAATAAAAACGGTAAATAAGTTCAGTAACTGTTAATTCGGGGTATGATAAATTGTTATTTGTTGCCGCTGAATTTTGCTGTCGAAAGTTTTCAATAATTTAGTATCATATTCCATACAATTTATATTCTCGTTTATTATGAACAAAATAATGTTCGAAAATAAATGGATCACGAAATTCTTTTTTATGAAACGTGATCCCTTCTCAGTTTCAAAACCAACATAACTGTGCAAGCTAAGCGGTGGGAGCTAAACATTTTATATTTTCATTTTTAATATTAGCAGTCTTTGTTCCACGAAAGCGTTATTAATGATTCGAACACCTTTAACCTTTAACAAGAACGATAAGTACTGGAGAACGTGACTCGAAAGTTTATGATCCCTTCATAACCTTCAAGAGCTTTGCTGAAAATCGTGACACCCAATTTCCATGCCAATAAATCACTAACTCAATACTTCAAATCATCACTCGACGGCCACTGCATAAATCAAGTTCGAGTTGCCAATTACTTAAGGAGCTTATCCCGAATGTCGCAAACGTTCTAGAATCATTCTGACCGGCTCCAAATGGCTCCACTTTGGTGGGTACGTGACCGAAATGGCTTATAAATCGTGTTGAATTGTCGGCGCGGGCTCACTACCCACCTATTATTGCAGCCACATTGATTTATGCGTTGTAATCAAGTACTCGAATTAAAGTGAGTGAGGTGCGTACTAGCTGATTCAGGGATTTCTTTTTTTAAATTGAGAGCCTTTTTGACTGCGCACGAAAGGGTGCTTTAGCGAATGTTATTTATAAAGGTGAGTGTGCACAATTTTTGCTGCGTATTTTGTTTTGCTGACGCATTTTATAACCATGTAAGGTTTGATGTCAATATGTGAAATACTGCAACTCATGTCATGTTGAGAGGTATAAAATTGCAAAGTGTACGTGAGCAAACATTCTTGCTTTATTGCATGCAAGCGTACTAAAATGAACAATTTTATCGCGTTAACTTTACAAACGATGTCATGACTTATAAACAGGTTTATACAGGTTGCGTCTATATTCATAAAACATAAGAGTACAATGTATTTTACTACATCTCCTAAAGGTTTATGACGCATTAACTATTCAATATAACGTAGCATGTTTGATTACAACTCTCGAGAAATAAAACTCCGAATCAAAAACGCTTATTCCACTAAAGACGGAGCTGCCAAGTAATTACTCCGACAGTTTAAAAAGTCAGCAATTAAAAATCTCGTGGGAGAAAATATGAGGAATACCGAAAAATTTACAGCAAAAATCCTCGAAGTAAAAGTGTCAGGGATAATGATTTCGTTCAGCTTTGTTAGCGAATTAACTTAATGAAGGAGAGCCATTTTTCTCAGGTCGTATTGCGAAAGAGTGTTTCGAGATTGCCGACTGCAAACGTGTTATGTACAGTCGGCTGCCTACCCTGGAGTGTATCCAAGAAATCTTCATTGCAGGCAAGTCTATTACTGTATTTTATTGTTGAACACCAACAGCGTTTATTTCCTCTCCTTTAACTTTGTAGTGTTAATTACTGATGCTATTACCGTTTCAAGGGTATTTGATATTGGAAACTTTTCGATTGCTATTAAGGTGTGGTTTATAATATAAAAATTTAGTATTAGCAATTGAAACGTTCGTGGTATTAGACATTTTACACGTGGCACTAATTATGGTAAATGATTCATGTAACTGGTTCATTATAAATTTATATCAGAGTGGGTAATATTTGTTTTTATTAAAAACGGCTTTGGTATAAAATAATTAGTCCTAAGGCCGACGAGGTACTTGTTAAAAATATTGAGGATAACCTAAATTAGGTCTTCGGGCCCAATAAATTAGATCCGAGTGAAGTATCTCTTCAAAGTCATGGAGCATAGCAGAAATTTTGATGAGGGTTGTCCTGGCTTGGACAAATGTGTTTGTTTAGGTCCACAGCGTTAAATATTGTTTGTCAACGCAGTTTTCCCGGTGCTGCAAACAGCGACACAAATGACGACAGCACTTTGTAGTCTTTATGATGATTCTAAATAAGAGTCTTCTTAATAAAATGGATAAACGTTGGCAACACTGCCGAGAAGTGTCAACAATAGCTCGCTAATAATTAATTAATTTCTTAAGTATTTCCAAATATAATAAATAGAAGAATACATCAGGACGTTTAATAAGTCTTAAATATACAGTGATAATGTTATCTCAGTGAAAACTCTAGTGTTTGTGTAAAGACATCGCAAAATGAACTACTAATATCTGTGTTTTGTTATTAATTAATGCAAAAAAAACATTATAAAGCCTATTTATTAACAAAGTGGACAATATGTGATAACAATTATTCAGTGCAATTGCAAACAACGTTAAAACCAACTTTTCTGCCAATTTTATGCAGTTATTATTTCAAAATTTTCAAATTCTAAAAGACCTGCAATTCTGACAACCTGACGGCATAAAAACAAACATCCGTCAACCAATCAGAAGACACATCAAAAATATTGACACTAGACTGATCGTTCAGAAATTGACAGTTATTCATAAAATTAACTTGGAATCCTGCCTTTTGAGTCACGTTCCATTACAAGCTGACTACGCACCAAACAATATAAAGAGAAAAATTGCAATGGAATCAAAAACCAAAAATAGTGGCCGTAAGGAGCCAAAATTAGTCATGTGTTATAAATGTAAAAAAACAAGTTGATAATAGAAGAACAATATTATGCAATTTATGTAAAAACCACTTCGAGTTTGACTGTGCTGGATATCCAGAGGCACTATATCGTTTAAAAAATCTAGAAGAGAGGAAAAATTTTAAATGGGAATGCAGATTATGTACCCAGAAGGCAAGAACAGAGTACCAGTGGCCCTGGGTATCCAACGTAACTATGAGAAAAAAACCCGCGCCTCCTGATCTAAGCAGTAATGTTACGCCAGACAACACGCCTTGGTCTACTCAAGAAGCACAAATTCAGAGGTTATATATGACTCAATATATTAACAATGGATCATATGGACAACGAATCAATCACAATTACAGATAAAACTTTGTCGAGAAGTATGGACCTTTCAGCAATCGATTCATTTCAAGCCCAAGAACTGAAGGACAAGATAGAAAATCTTCAGACTGATCTAATAACTTCACAGAACGAACTAGAAAACATCATTCTAGAAAATAACGAGCTCCATAGACAAAATGACAAGTTGCTCAAGGATAACACCACACTGAAAAGATTGTTATACCAATCTCCACAAAGAGAACATTATAATAAGGGCGTGACGATAAATGGAACAAACTCATGCCCTTTGGTACGTCCAGGAGTTCAAGCTTTTTTTACGCCACCAAGAAACCTAGTTGCAAGTAATAATAACACGGTGACACAATCCAGTGCTAATATCCAAAGCCTACAAAAAAATATCACAAATCTGGAGTACGAGTTGAAAAGAGCTGAAAACGAAATAATAGATCTCAAAGACCACATTCTAAAGCTTCAGAAGATACTCGAAACAAATGAAGAATGTGAAAAAATACTCGAAACAAATGAAGAATGTGAAAAAATAACGCTACGCGATTCGCAAAAAGAAAATCAAGGGAATAAAATATATATTTATGGAACACAACAGTGTGTTGGACTGGCAAGTGCATTGTTGAGGTCAAGGGATGATACAACATATGGGAAATATGCCGTCACGTCTCAAACGAAACCAAATGCCCTTACTAGTGAGGTCATTAAGAACTGCCAAAATATTCAGTTATTACCAAGTGACAAACTTATCATTTGTGTTGGTGAAAATGACTACGACATTAAGATTTTATCTTCACAAGTACGTAAACTTCTCAATGTTTTTGCTGATAACAATGTAATTGTTCTTAGCGTGTTAAAAAATATGTATATAAACGTGAAAGATTTGAACCAAACTTTAAGCAATATTTGCAATGAATACAAAAATTGTAATTATATTGAAGTTAAAACCAGATTGTATAATACTTGTAATTTAATTAACTATATTATTGACTATCATGACTATGAACGAAAATATTTAAATGTTAAAGAATTGAAGAAGTTGATACTCCGTGATCAACCAAAGGATAGAACACCTAACACGCGGCGTGATAGGTGTGCGAAGGGAACAATACCATATTATTTCTCACAACTCCAGCACCAGTCGGGATGCGAGGATACAGATGGACTCGATAAGAAACACTGTGCTACTGTAAAAAAAGGTACTATACCACACTATTTTCAGGTCTTGGATAAAAAAGCATTTTTTCGTGAAACACAATAACTTGCAAAGTAAATCTAAAACTTTTAAAATCCTACATCAAAATATTGCCAGCGTTTTATCAAAAAAGGAATTACTAGAAATGACGCTGCTAGAATTACGAGACGCGAATCAAGAACCCAACATTTTATGTTTTTCTGAAACCTTTGTGCGTGCCGGATATGAAAAATACTTAAAATTACATAACTATACTTTAGCAACTGCGTTTAGTCGAGATAAACAAAGAGGAGGAACATGTATTCTCACAAAACAGGGATTAATTTACAATGAGCTTAATTACATAAAAAAATATTCAACACAAAAATCATTTGAAGCCTGTGGCGTGGAAATTCCATTACACAAACTGTTAATAGTCTGCCTCTATAGAACGCCAACTTCTGACCCTTATATATTTCTGAATAAGCTTGATCAACTTTTATGCGAAACCCTAAAAAAATATAGACCAAATACGAAAATAGTAATTGCTGGTGACTTTAATATAAATACTTTAAAACCGGGAAAAGTCACTACATATTTAAAGGATTTGTGTAATAATTACAATTTGCAAATGCATATTAATGTCCCCACTCGGAAGGATTCTTGCATAGACCACATACTAAGTAACATAAGTTTATCTTCGGCGAATGTATTGCCTCTTTACCTATCTGACCATGACACGGCACAATTACTGGAATTCCCTATAAAAGAACAAAGTTCAAAGGCTATATCTTATTTCATTGAGAAAAAGGATTATTGCAATGAAAACATTACAAAATTTAAAGAATGCCTCGCTAACTTATCGTGGTCAGAAGTACATCTAGAAAATGACTTAAATAATGCGTTTAGTAAATTTCATGAGTCTTTGTGTTTGCTATACAACTTATGCTTCCCAAAAATTAAAATTAAGGTTAACAACTCTAATACTAATAAACAAAAGTGGATGAGTAGGGGTCTTCGGGAAAGTTGTAAAACTAAACGAGTTTTGCGATATATTTATTATAAAAGTAAAACTCTAGCAAACAAAATAAAATATAAAAAATATTCAAGCGTTCTGAATAGGTGTATCGTAAAATCAAAAATGAATGCTAATGCAAAATTCATTGAAGGGAGTAAAAATAAATGCAGAGCAACATGGTCTGTGGTTAATCATGAAATTGGAAACTTAAAATGTGAAAACGACATTTCTGAACTACAATTAAACGGGAATATCGTGACGAATCCAACTGACATCGCTAATATTTTTAATAATTACTTTATTGACTCGACAAATACCCAAACATATAATAATAATTACTCTTGTACTGCGACAATTCCTAACACTTTGTTTCTCAGTCTCATGACTGAAGATGAAGTCAAACGGGAGATAACATCGCTAAATAATACTAACTCCGAGGGTTATGATGGAATTGGTACAAAGATTATTAAAGCAAGTAGTGCGGAATTAGTGCCTATTCTGACACATCTGATTAATTTATCATTTTCATCGGGAACGTTTCCTGATGTATTGAAATTATCAGTTGTGAAACCACTGTACAAAAAAAACAATAAAAAGGACGTTAAAAATTATCGTCCAGTTACTCTTATACCTATTTTATCAAAAGTATTCGAGAAATGTATGAACAAGAGACTTTTAGAATTTTGTAGTAAATATAACATTATAGCTGGTGAACAGTTTGGTTTTCAAAAGCACAAATCCACGACGCTTGCTATATTTTCTCTTTTGAATAATATTCTGACAGGTCTGAATAATAATCACTTAACGACAGGATTGTTTTTCGATCTGTCGCAGGCTTTTGACTTTGTGGCACATGACGTTTTATTGAAAAAACTGGAAAATCTTGGGTTAAGAGGTCCTGTATTACAGTGGATCTCATCTTATTTAAGTAACCGAAAACAATGCGTTGTCGTAAGTAAAGTACACGAAAATATACTCACTTCTTATTTTTCAGACTATAGAGACAAAAAATGCGGTGTTCCTCAAGGGAGTGTGTTGGGGCCCATATTGTTTTTATTATACATCAATGACATTTCATTGGCTACTAATCACAAATGTATATTGTTTGCAGATGATATTTCTATTATAGTGACATCCGATAAGAAGCATAAATCAATATCTGATCATGAGATAGACATTAATAATACTATTGACAATATATTAGAATGGCTACAGACAAATAAATTAATAATCAATTTAGATAAATCTAATTTTATGCAATTTAATAAATCAAAACATGCTAAATATAATTTTAAACTGAATATTGATAGATTGAAAGAAGTAACACAAACAAAATTTTTGGGTGTACTCATTGACCAAGATTTAAATTGGAAAGTACATCTAGATGGCCTGTGCAATAGGATTAACAAATTTGTGTATGCTCTCAATCAACTAAAGAACGTCACTAATAGAAAAACGGCAATAGTAGCATACCACGCATACATAGAGTCCATTTTACGCTACGGGCTTATTATATGGGGAAACAGTACGGACAAAAACAGAGCATTTATTGTACAAAAGAAATGTATTAGAGCCATATGTGGAATCCGTCCTGACGAGTCCTGCAAACCAGTTTTTAAAAAGCTAGGCTTATTACCACTTCCTTCCTTGTACATTTATGAAATTTGTAGTTTTGTCTTCAATAATAAGGGATTGTTCCTAAAAGCATATGAAGTAATCTCCCAACCCAGAAAGGATCCACACAGGCTTGTATTAAGCAATACTCCTAAATCTGGGAAATATGCTAAAAGCTGTCTTGTGATGTGTGTGCGCATATACAACAAAATTCCGGAAGAACTAAAATTATTAAATAATATTAATATTTTCAGAAATAAACTGTATAAATGGTTAAATGAACATAATTTTTATAATATAAATGACTTTTTTGATTTAAAAAATGTTTAAATGTGTTTAGGTTCAATTGTTTTTTTTATTTTATTGTAATGATTATTGGCGTAATGACAATTGTATTAACAAATATTTTGCATGCAATCTATAGACATTATCTATACAGCTAAACATGTGTACTTTAAAAACAAATTGTAACACCACTGTAAACCATGTTTAAGGCAAAAAAAAAAAAAAATATCTTGATGGAGTTTCTAGAAATAATTTCGATGCCACAACATCTTCCTGATAACTTTTGAACAAATGAACTGATTTATTTTACAAAAACGTCCCTAAATTTCGCATTTCATTTCTAGATACCATCTGAACACAAGACTCCCGTACATAAAGCTGTACATAGAAAACGAAGAATTTAACATTGACGGGCAGAGATGTGAGAATATCATGACCTGTCCTATGAGACCAATAACTTCTGGTAAGTGGACCAACTATTTGAACTTCTTGATGAAAAACATACAAGGCAATATAAAAAACCTGAGGCCAATAATTTTGGTCGTATTTTTCTAAGGTATTTTTTATGGGATTCCTATGGCGTTAAACTAGCAGACGAATGACATGATGGTAAGCAATGGACCTAATAGAAACCCGCATCTACAGTTTATCGGCGGAAAATTCCTTCACGTCGGTTTTCTGTGAGATCGTGCGTAGTATCACTTCAGTCAATCCAGCTCATTTGTAAAGAAGCATGGTTCTCCCGTCTTGACTAAATATATACAAAATATTAAAAAAGTTTAGGATCAAAATTGCTCAAGAGACGTTGCTCTAGTCTTTTATATTTTTATTCAGACTCCAAACTGAACAGGGTAAAGTTATCTGAGTCTATAAGTAAGTTAAGTAGCCTTTTAGTGCCAAGTAAATACTGTAGATAAGATTAGAAAAATTACGGAAGACTATCCGCTAAGCTTTGAAAAATATTTTCTGTTTAGATCGGGGTGCTGTATTAAACTAATCTTTTATACTGCTGGTTGAGTAACAATATTATTACATTTCTGTCTAAAACTTACAATTTGATTTGAGTTCAGGTATAATGTAATTTAGCGTACACGTACGAACGATACTCAATTTTGAATTACTGTCGTCTCAATTCATGTAGTTTGCAAATGGAATTACATTTATAGTAACCCTAAAGTACACGCGAAAACCTGAATAACTTTATTCTAAAACATAAAGTCGATCCCAGAACACAAATATTTGCTCAAAATAACAAAATTATCTTCTAAACTACATCGTCTTGAACAGCGCAATATCTAAGCTGGGAATACGTTTACACTTGACTTGAATGGGCCACTTTAGCGAGCGTACAATCGTTCGGACGAAATCACCAATTCGAACGTTCAATTCTACTGAAAAAGCAATTGAGGACGGTTTGATGTGTCGATCAAAGTAGGCTTGCATCAGCAAACATGGCTACTTTTTTGATAAAATGAGATTGCACTTTAGTCGAAGTAAATAATAGAGAAAAAGGCCCACCATGTGTCGACAAATCTGATTAGTTACCATCAGGGAATCAGTTTACTCGTTTATTGCTCTATACCATAAAAAATAAGTTTATAGTGAATTTTGTGTGCTGTTGAGTGAGACCGATCGATATGTCTGGTTTAAAAATATGAGCGTGTTCATGTGACTCCTGCGTAGCTTATAAACCCACTTGATCGAGTATGTTAATCTCTGAATTTTAAATAAGTCACGTAAGATACTTTACGTAAGAAATCGGTAAACTATTTAGCACCTTTCCAAAGTGATTAAATCTGAAAATTGACAAACTTCAGCCCTTCAGTTAAATCATCAGAAAACCGAGACGAACACAAATTCAAATGAAAAAATATTGTAATGACAAAATCAAAGTAAAAGCATATATTTCTATCAATACACTTACGCACATTTCAAATATCAGACTAAACAGTCCTTCAGTCGATTCGTCGATTAAGTTAAAATCTAATCAAGTTCTGAAATCCGTATCTGTATACCGTTTATACCAAGAGCTAATCCGTAAATATTTCACTTGTAACATCTATAATTTAATCTGAACTCTCAAGAATACAATAACCATATCCTTTCTAACATTTTTTACATAACACAGCAAGGTGTTAAGTTATAGTGCCCATAAATAACTGCTATCCAATAACCGACGTTAAATCTATGCTGGCCTGACTTCGTCGATATTAAATTCTTATACTGGTCGACTTTGTTCATGCTTTAAGGTTAAAATTTAGTGGTAAATATGGTCTTATATTTTATTAGCTGTAGTTGAACGTGACTTCGTCCGCGTAGAATATGAATTTTATAACATAACTTTTTTTGTTTCAAATTTACAAATCAAATCATTTATTTCGGTTGCAAACATGGGTTATAAAATATACAAAAGGTGTTTAATATTTATAGTATGGTTCTCCACATTTTGCCATTATGGCATGCAAGTATTTCCTAATCAATTTATCTACAAGTTTAAATAAAAGTAGTCTATGTTACTCCTTAGTACATCAGCTACTTGCCATTAAAATCGGTGCAGACGTTTCAGAGATTAGCCAGTACAAACGGGCAAACAGACAGACGAAAATTGTAAAAAAAATAATAAAATAAATTGTATGTGTATCGTATGTCTATTCATATATCTATGCATGTAGTGAAAAGCGGTTTAATATTACAAACAGACACTCTGATCTCATTTATCTGTAAAAATAATCTTTCTTTCTTTTAAAGGTCTCTTATTTACTTTAATTATTGACCAATATTTTTAATCATATTTCACAAATGTGATGCGACAAAGGTCTCTGTGTATAGCAAGATTGACATAGCGGCTGTCTAGATCCAATTCACCATGGTTCAAATAATAATTGGTTTCATCTGAAGATATTTATTTCAAATATGTATGCTACTTATCTTATTTTACAATAAAATTTAATTTACAAAAGGTGTACTATATACAAAGTAACAAAACACTATCATTATGCAACCGTAAGTTTTATACCAATGTTCATGTGGGAGGGCCGGCTTGACCGGAGTGATACCACGGCCTCACATAAAACCGACGTGAAACAACGGTTGCGTTGTGTTTCGTCGTGTGACGTTACCAGAGTTCCCTAATCTCTGAATCCCCAACAATCCTCAAATTCCTAATCTCAAAAGGCCGGTAACGCACTTGCAACGCCTCTGGTGTTCCAGCTGTCCATGTGCGACGGCAATTATTTACCATCAGTTGATCAATCTGCTTGTTTACGGCTTATACCATAAAAAAATGTTGCGAATTTCTTAATACAAAGTTTTCTCCTCAGTGTATCCAAAGGTTTATACAAGCTAGCGGATTGAAAAATTGTGTTGAAGATAGACCGTGATTTGCCTCGCTAGGGTTTATATGAATATGAAATGTGGTATCGCTAGCTTATTTCAAGCAGACGGTTGGTTATGAAGTGGTTTAACATGTTTTGATAGGTGATCTGAATTTAAACGATATTGCTTTAAAGGGAACGTGATGTTTTTATTTTTAAGTCAATCTTATAAGAACTTTTCAGAGTACTTTAGTAATTTTAACTCGTCGAGTACCGGTTTTATAGACACAATTAAAGAACAATGGGTCGCGGTCACCGGTGACCGCTTGGTGTTTGACAGTTTAAAAGGAATTACGCGTAGAAAAAGGGAAAATGTCTTTTGAGTATGTTAGTGTTAACATGTTGATGTTCAAAAATACACTTTAAGTTCTAAATAATACACTTCTTTATTCGTTCTTAAATTATCATGATTTTCTTCTTTCCCAGGGTCAGAAAACTGTCCATATGACTACATCAGGATTTATGACGGCAAAGATGAGTCAGCATCTGTGATTGGCACCTTCTGCGGCATGGGAAAGTTTCCATACTCCATTATTGGCACTTCCCAGGACTTGTTTGTTGAGTTCGTCAGTTCCCCAGCAGGTAATGTGAAGTATTGTTTATACTCTTTAATTGTCAAATGAAATGAGACCTTATCATTCAAACCTGTGACATTAAATTAATTGTTTCTATTTCACAAATGAGTCTTTAGAAAAATACAGTTACCTACTACATAATATTGTATTGGTTGCAAGTCGATTGTTAAAAAACAGGAATTTCGTTCTATAATTCTATTGCTTTCTTAACTAGGTCCACTTCTCAACACCGGCTTCCATTTCAACGTTGGCAACTGGCCTGGACATGTAGAAGCTCCAGGTTCTAAAGTCGGCACCTGTGATTGGCTACTAACAGCTGAAACCCTCAAGAAGTCAGGCGACACTGAAGGCATCTTCCTGTCTGTTGCACATTGGTATCCCCCGCATACATCCTGCACGTATCTGATGCAAGGATTCCCTGGACAGGTCGTTAGGTTGTACTTTCCAAGGTAAGCAGCAAATTACTGAACTAGTGATATAAGTATCCACTTAAATTGAATGACTTCTTCATCATTGAAAGACCAGTTTATGTCAGCAAGAAGTAAAATGTAAGAAGTTTCGGATTCGGTACTCAAATCATTGCATTGCGATTTAAAAAAATCAACATTCAGTCCAAATAACCTATATTCGATAAGCCTGTTCTACACAATATTGCACTCCACTAAGAAGACACTATTAACAAAAAGTATGAATGAAAAACATAATGCTATCTTTTTCTTTCAACAGTTTCCGAATAAACCGCATTGAGTCTCCGATTCAGCCTTGGACTGGGGACTGTGGAGAGTCTCTTACTCTGTATGATGCACCGAGACCTGACGATGCTCGCATTATCAAGACATTCTGCGACACGTTCAGCCGACCGATGGAGAAGCACGACTTTGTGTCAACTGGCAACGCTATGTTTGTTAGATTTGAGAGCAAGACTGGTAGTTATAGCGGGTGAGTGAATTTTAAACTATTTTTAGTATGTTGAGGGATTTTCGTACATAGAACTAGTTAATTTTGACTAAATTTAAGTTTTGAGTGCAATTTAATTTTAAAGTTTCGTTTTCCGAGTAGTGGTAAGTGCGACTGCCGAGCAAGGGATCTCGGGTTCGATTCCCGGGTCAGGCAAAGTACAGTACTACTGGGCTTATCAAAAACATTCTCAGTAGTAGCACGGAGTCTGGAATTGTGCTCAGTATACGACAGTATGGTCACCCCCTATTAGATGAGACTCATAACATAAATAATGAAAAGCGGGTGTTACATTGTACAGTAGCATTAAGTTCCGTAATGTGCACTTCTGCCTACTCCTTCAGCAATAAAAGGCGTGATGTTATGTATGTTTCGTAAATGTCAGTAACAACATGGCATCTCATAAAAACAAAAATCGATTAACATAAAGAACTGATAGAATGCGAATATAACTCATTCCTTCAGGGATAATTATGGTAGTCAGTAACACATCACGTTGACTAGTATATATCATTAATTATTATGTTTTGATATTAAAAATATAATTTAATGATTGCAATATCTCCATAAATTTCCTCTAAGACATTCCACGCGCAGAGTTTATTACGCAAAAACATTACGAGTCAATATTACATCAACATATCAGATAAAATCACTTTGAAACAAGGTAAATAGACAAGTTACGTAATAATTTATTTACACAGAAACATTATTACACGATTTCAAGCTAAGAATACATCAAACACGTTACATATGGTTGTAGTAAACAAATAAATATACTCATTTCCTACATAGAACATCGCTCGTGTATATATTTGTTTTCGTAAGAGACTTTCCCGCAAAATATCATTAATTAAAATGAAGAAAGAGGACGAAACGAATAAACAAATAAAGCAAAAACATTTTCGTTGACAACAATTTTATAGAGCGTCTAAATGTGTAGTATGTATGGGTACACTGATTGTTTTTATAATAACTATCGTGAGACATACTAAGTTAAATAAAATCACAGGTTACTCACGTGAATATACTGAGAAAAGCTCTACTAATTTCGGTAGGGTCGCGGCGACGTCGACGTGACCGCGCACGCTGGAACAACTCTTTGTGTGATCCACAGATTGTTGTTCCGGGTCTCGCTGCCATATGTATGTGCAGTTATATGTTTGTAAACGCACCTACGATATAGGAGAAAACGTTAGTGAGGGGTAACGTTAAAAAAAAAATAGGCGACCCTTACACCTAACAATACTAATCCTATTTAAGTACAAAACTAACACTACTAACAAAAATATAATTAAGTATACAGCACAAACATTAAAATGTAAGAGATAAAAATAAAGCAATACAATAATTCCAAAGTCTAATCTAAATAATCTTTACAGATCATCCCTCTACTACTGGGCTCACTACGACTTCTTCAATAACACACGTTTCGGAGAACCAGTCCCTGGCACAGCTTGTGATGAGATCATAGCATCATGGAAGCAAAGAGCTGGTAGACTGAGGTCTCCTCTGAACACCCTGGTGTATAAACAAGCCTCGCCAGGAGAAGATGTCCACTGTCTCTACAGATTTGTAACAGATAAGAGGATTTATGCCAGAGTAATTCTCACTATTTTAAGTGTTAATTTCAAGGTGTGTATGTTTCATCAACCAAACATCCATTCATGTACAGTAGACAGCAAGTCAAGCTACTCTTTTATGTGATATTTCTTTATTCGATTTTCGACTCTATCGTTTAGATTTCAAGTCGCAAATTGAATGATAAAAATTAACATTGGCGTAGATTGATATGCTGGCAACTGTACATATGTTTTGAATTTCTATAAATTTACTAATAAAAATATACTGTTAACATGATATGAGACAATGCATTCTACTTAAACACACAATCTTCGTCTATTGAAAGAATTAATAGTTAGTTACACAGAATTTTACCAGTTTATGTAGTCGTCAAAGTGAGAGAAAATTAGAGGATTCGTTTGATGTCTGTACATCAAAAATAAATATTATAAATATTTATTTATACTTTATTTCAGATTTCACAAACCAATTAACTCGTAAAGGACTCATTTCAACAAAATGTTTTCTTAGTCTTAGTTATTTCTTCAGTAAGCACTTAATTAATTTTATCTCAAAATTCATTTGCTGAACTAATTTCTAATTAGTTGTCCGTTTTTCTCAAAGTTAATGATTTTTCCATTTTCAATTTCATTTTAATCAGAAAGTAATTTATAATCTGTTGAGATTTAAAAGTACTTTTATTATGTACAGTTTTCCATTTTATAATTACGTCACAAATTGTAAGCTATTTCTGAAACAAAATCTAAAATGAAAATATTTACAGGAACACCCATACACATCGGTAACCTGTCAAAACTGTTACGAAGACCGCGCAGACAAATTGATCATCTGGGAACCATACCCAAGTAGCAAGATACCCAACATTACAGCACCAGGAGTGAGCACCACGCCTCTTCCTCTCCACTTGGCTGTTCAGCGCTCCCTTGGATCCTGTCTTTGTGCCAAACATGCAAACGCTGTGTCCAGAGCAAGACCATACAGGGTCGTGTCATCAGGAGAAAGCCTAAATCTCCAACTTATAGTAGACAACGCCCATGCGGCTGCCTCATACTTCAAGAATCCTTCTCCACTCTTTGAAGCCCGCTATGAGTTTGTTCATGGCCCACTCTGTGGGCCAGCTGTTTTGGCAGCTGCATCAGATGGTGAAATAGTCTATCCACATTTAGAAGCCCTTGGCTATATGGAACCGCCGAAGAGAATACAGTGTATATGGGATCTGGAGATAGAAGAAAAGAGAGATATTTGGCTACACTTTGAAAGTATTAAGTTCGCTTCACGTCACTGCGAAGATGGCAATATCCAGATTTACTTGCCTGGACGGTTAGATCCATATCTCTCAGTATGTGGTGATAATGTCACAGAAACAGAAAAACTGCCAATACTGTCGGCTGGAGAACTTGGTTTTGAATCTCTAGATGATCCATTAGTGATTGAAAAAGAAAAGACGAGATCTATTCGTATTGTCTTCATCGGTAGCGCGTCACCAGCAAGAGCTGCCTTCAAAATTGCCTGGACTGGGCTTTACCATCTACCGAAGAATTCTGATGGCACACTAATGACTTCACGGCTAACTGACGGAGAAACAAAATCTCCTGACTCAGGTCATGGGTGTGACTTTATTTGTCCTGGCGAAGCACTCTGTATTCCAGCCAGATTGATTTGCAATGGAGTAGTTAATTGTCCAAATGTCACTTCAGGTGATCGTAAATTCTGGACAGCTGAAGAAAAACGAGCGCGAGAAGCGTACTCTGAGGACAGTCTAAGACGCTTAGGATATTTGGATTTATTGGGAGGACTTCCATTGGGACAATTGCATGATGAAGCTCCTGAGCTTTGTGCTAGAGCCAGGAGCATTGGTGGAAATGATTGGACGGCGCCTGCATTAGGTGCCGGATTAGCGATTGCTATTGGTGTGTGTGCTCTCGGTGCCGCCTGGCGCCTGTGCTGCCGCAAGCGATCTCCAGACGAAGAGTCCCTGGATTACTGACATGCGGCCCGCGGTGCGCCTCACGCACCGCCGTCGCTCCACTCGCGGTCTACCTCCAGGGACCTCCCTATGGATTGGAGCCTCCATTGACAGACGCTATATTGAGCGCCGGAGCCCTCCTTTGTTGATTACTGAGAACCAAGTTCTTTGCTTGTTATTGTTACCCGGATATTGGTAATTGTATACCATACCATAATTACTAAAAAAACACAATCCTGTCAATTTTCACTTAGAATTTTTCTATATAAATATCTCCATATAACGATAGTGGCAAGCAGTTGGAGTTGCGTGTTCAAGGCAAATTTTGGTAATGTGGAAAGTTTACGATTGAAGTGAATCAGTCTAATTTGTTAACAACGACAGTTGTTGCAGCCAAAAGTTTCCTTATAACTGCTTGGAGCTGTCATTATATTTTTACTAAAGTTAAGTACGGCAATTTGAATGTACTTTATTGAAGACACTCCCGATATTTATCGTGTTTAATTTTAGGAGGGTAAGTCTCCCGGCGCTCAAGTTGACGATGTTGTTTTGTAATTAATGTATATACCCGTATACCTAAATTAAACCTAACGTTAATTAATGCTTCAAACGAACGATCATAGGTTAGGGCAAGGTGATAGTAGCCAAACAGTTAAGTCATTATCAATTTAGGTAGTAATAGTGATGTTTTTATAACATGGCGTAAGTAAGACATTCCTACGACGGGAATGGGTTCAACATTATGGTTTTTGAACTCATCATATTTAGCATCAAGTTGACTCCTCTCATTATGTGCTCGAGAAAAGATCGCCAAGTTCGTTCACGATGACAATGAAGAAAGTTCTACTGAAGTTTGATTTTAACGCTAAGTTACTTCATATCAGTATTGTAAAATAAAGTGCTCAATATAATGTGAACTTGGCGAACTTTTTCGTACACGCTGGCTTCAAAGCGATTTGACTGACTGCGAAATCATGTAACCTATTCGTTGTAATGTAAATATATTTGACTAGATTGTAAGATCGTTGATAGAGTAAGTTGTGGCAGATATCATTGACTTCTCGTAAATTTTCATAACAATTTTGGATATTTACTTTAATAATGTTCTTAAACATGTTTCCTTAACATCGCCACCTTTAGATGCAAGATTCTGATGCCCAAATAAGTTTGAAATAGTTCAGTTAAAACCTCATTCTTATTAAGTCGAAAGTGTTGCCAGAAATCAATGATATGTACCTAAAAATAAACTAAAAATGCGCACTGCGGTTAGCTACGATTAGTTCTGTATCTGCAATAATAATTTTATCAACTTGTAACATTTATTTAGTTTTTGGAATAAATATTTGTCATTTATATACGTTGCACAGTTAGCTATTAGATTATTTTCACTGAATATGCTTTTAAAAGTTATTGGAATTACAACCGTATCTATTTGTGTTAAGGTGTGAGCAATATCTGTTATGAAAACGATGTTTTCTAAAATATTAATAACACTTTTTGTCTTGATATAGTGTATATTGTCTGCATTGATTTGTCATCATTACTTGATATATTGGCTCGTTTACCTAAGCTCATAATTTTATTATCATACCTACTTTAAAACAGAAACAAGACGATAAGAACTAAATATTCATATACTACAAAACATAGAACATCAAAAAATTATTCTAATCTAAAATGTAAGGTCGATTTGTGTTCTAGATCCAGCCTATCAGTAATATCGTTATCGTAATGGATATTGCTCAATTCTAAGCCTTAAGTTTAGTACAATAATAAATATAGAAAAGTATAAAATTGTTTGCAGTACTATTTTAAATAATAGCTTTATTTTGACGAGTAATTTAGATTTTGTTAGCATTTACCAGATGGGTAATGTTAAAAAAATAAAAATATATTTTGTACAAAATATTCTATCGTTTTTTTTTCTTGCAATTCCTTGTTAATCGAGTCATCGCAAGAGTTAAGGTAAGGGTTGCTACTGCTAAGGGCAGGCAAGGGAATTAGGGTTCAATGCCCGAGTCCGGAAAAGTATTACTTGGTCTTTATTGGTTTTAACGTTTCTTACCAATAGCACGATGTTCTAAACAGTGACCTGGATATTATATAATCAATGAAAAGTGGGTGTTTAGACTTCTGCCTACACCTTTGCGGATAAAAGTCATGACGTCATTTATGTAAATAGTGTGAACTCGATAGTCAATAGTGGCTGTAACACAACAGCAACAAATACAGCACCATTAACCTATAGTCACAAAGTTCAGAAACAAACAATGATAATAATTATCTATATTACAACCACATGCAATATTACAGGCAAGGAGCTCAGCTCAATTTCTTAGAACTTAACGTCCTTATCCAGGAACTCTTGTGTAAACACACTGAATAGCGATTAAAAGCTAAGCCGTACCTGTAAGTTAACGTAATTTCCAAGAAAATAATTGTAGGTATTATTTAAAGTAAAATGGGATGCTCTTGATTCCTTAATTGATGGAGAATAGAAGGTTTCAAAACTTTAATAAAAGCAAAAAACCCAGTCAGTTCTACTTATAAATTGTATCATTTACTAATAAATATAACGTAACATCACGCATTTTATCCTCGAAGGAGTAGGCAGAGGTGCACATCATGCCACTGAACAATGTAACACCCACTTTTCACTATTCATGTTATGAGTCCCATGCAATAGGGGGTGAGCCTATTGCCATATACCGGGCACAATGCTACATTTATTTTTAAAAACCCAGTAATACTTTGCCCGACCCGCGAATCGAACCCGAGACCCCTTGCCCGGCAGTCGCACTTGCGACCACTCAGCCAATGAGGCAGTCACTAATAAATATACTGTTGAAAAATGGTCTTACCATTACCACATATTCATATTTCTCCCCATAAAGAAAACCACTCATAACCACGATGTTACAAATAACTACGTGACAAAAATACAAAAATGGGAATCTCGACAACAATATAACAACATCAACGAACATGAAATCCACATTATTTACATTGGCAATAAGTATGAGACAGGAGATAAACAGTTCGTAGCGCAAACCTAATGACCCTCCCTACAGCGATTATTCACGAAATTATTTATAGCAACAATATTTCATTGTATCTGTACCGTTCAGGAATACATAAATCCTGTACGACAAAGAGCACTTAAAATCTATAATACGATAGCATTTTTCATAGCTGTGTACTTGTGTACCCATATCGTATTGGTGGACGGTGTTTGCAAATATTGAAGCACCTGCCCGCCGTGTCGCCGCCGGCGCCATATTTATTTTTATGACATATTTTTTATTTGTGTTCTTTTTTTGGATTTGCAAAGTTTGAGGTTCATTTTGATTGTGACGTTCCGAAATTAAAAATTGATTTTTTATTTTCTTTTTACGAATGTCCATTTCGAAAATAGTATGTTTCTATGTATAGAAGGTTATTGTTTACACCAAAGAGTATAATAAGTATAGGGGTTGTTTACACTACAAATTAAACACATTTTTTCGAAAAGTTATAAATGGAAGTATGAATGGTGTAACTACAGATAGATAAGAAAAACTGTACTGTAATGACTGCACGGTTGGTGCGGTGGCTGGGCAACCGACTGCCGTGCAACGCGTCGCGGGTTCGATTCCCGCACGGAACAACATTTTGTCTGTTTGTTTGTTGTTTCGGGTTTGGGTGTCATTGTGTTTGTAAACTTGTATGTTTGTAAATGCACCCACGATACAGTAGTTTATTTCTACTGTGCCCACGACACAGGAGAAAATCCTATTGTGGCGCAAAGTTTAAAAAAAAATGGCACCGTTTTATTAATGTAAAGTTTCTAAATGCAATCTAAAATTTTGGTGAAATCATTAAGTATGATTCAAAATTGTGATAAAAACCAAGCTCGGATTATATCTCTTGTACAAATATTACTAAGATTATTATCAAGAAGAAATCCACTTAAACAGAATTTAAAACTAGATTTTCATAACACAATCTTACATTCTAGTATAATAAAACTATGGGATATAAGTGGTAGTTAAACTATTCTCATTTCCACCGCATAATACGTGTGAGCGAGATGCAAATAGAGGTAATGACAAGGAAGAAAGGTTTCATTATGTCGTACTTTATCTGAACGTGTTATAAATTGAGATTCGCTCCGTTAACGTTGGTCGAGAAGGAAACGAAGATCGCCATTGTAGTAAAACTAGGTTTGGTTTAAAGATTGGTCGTAGTTTTACTCCCCGATTCTTGGGTAAGTATTCATTTAATTTTATTTAATACTAGCTTTTGCCAGCGGCTTTGCCCGGGCTCCTGTAGGATAATAGTAACCAAAGTGTAACCTATATACGAATTCGAATATGTATCTGAGAGATTGTAAACAATTAAATATCATTTTTTTTAAAAGAGTAACGAATGGTGTTTTTTGCTCTTTCTTCTCCACTTGAATCTACTCTTTTGGATGAGCACCTTGCTTTACTGACGGACAGACTGACAGATTATTATTTAATTTGTATTTTTTTTGACATTTTCATCATGAGCCCGTATTCGTCCACTGCTGGACATAGGCCAATGGCACGCCACTGAGCTCGGTCTTCAGCTCTCATCCAACCACTGCCAGCTATCTTGTGGATGTCGTCACTCCACCTAGCTGGAGAGCACTCTACACTACGTTTGCCTAGACGCGGTCTCGACGAGTGACGACGACGAGTTTTAAAAGTACCAAATTATGGTTTAATTGAAAAAAATGCTTTTGAGTTTTAGTTGCCACACACAAAAGCACACCCAAAAATAACATTTAAAAAGACATTCATAAGTTACACACAACTATAAATTATAGCTAATATTTTTGTGTACACAATAAATACGATGTCATACCAAAACATGCGTAGGTAAATGAAACATTTTTAATATCCTACAAAAGCTCTTTGTAAATAAAAAAACATTCAGCTATAACTCATGGATTGATATTAAAAAAAAATATCTGTATTTATTTTATTGGAACATGCTGCAGGCTATTTATGAAAAAACTGCTAGTCATTCTGTATTGTATTTTGTATAGATTTACATGTTAATTGGAGCCATTTGTTTGATTAACAAAACATCATTATGTATTGTTTCATGGCTGTACAAAAATGTTTTTGTAGTATACAAAATATAAAAATGCCTGAAGTACTGTTGTTAATGCTTTATGAATAAAACATATATACGCACATACATGTTAAACTAAGAAACCTTTCGTATTAAAAAAGGTACCTTTTTCAAAATTTTGCTCGAAATTCACAATAACACTTTACCCGATCAGGAAATCAAACCTGCCTGGATTTCTTGCTATGTAAACACACTTGTTATCATCATCAACAGCCTATAAATGCCCACTGCTGAGCAAAGCTTCTTCTCACACGGAGAAGGTTTGAGCATTAATCACTACGCTTGCTCAATGCAGGTTGGCGATTACAGACTTATAATTAGAAATAATAGGTTTCCACACGATGTTTTCCCTTTGTCAGTGGTGTCTAAATAATACATATTAGAAAGTACATACAATTCGGAAAAAGTCACATTGGGTTTCGAATCCACACCCTCATGCATGAGAAGCAAGCGTCTTAAACCTCCGGGCCACCACGACACTTGAGATCACTCTAAACCAACGCGGTACAATTTTTTTATTATGAATTTGTTTTATACACCTAATCATATTTTTTATGGGATAAGCCGGTAAATGAGCAGACGGATCACCTGATGATAAGCAATCAGCGTCGCCCATGGACACCTGGAACACTAGAGACATTACAAGTGCGGTACCGGCCTTTTGAGGATTAGGAATTTGAGGATTATTGGGGATTCAAGGATTGGGGTGATTGTGGAAGACGGGGGAGGGAATGGGCCTCCGTTAACCTCACTCACATGCCGAAACACAACATAAGCGTTGTTTCACGTCGGTTTTCTGTAAGGCCGTGATATTACTCTGGTCGAGCCGTCCCATTCGTGCTGAAGCATGACTCTCACAAACTTGAAATTGGTAATCATAAGTCCAATGAATTATATACTTTCATTTAAAAATAGAACGAACCAATAAACTAAGCGAACGTCGCTTAAATAACTTAGTAGTAAACAGTTACGAAACTGGCCAGTTGCACGTGCAAACCAATTAATACCTCCAACTCATTAAGTAAAAAGATCTACAAAAAAAGTAAGAAAAACTAATAAAACTTCTTTGAAAGTTCAACCGCCCGAGCGGGTCGAAAAGTTAATTAAATGTACCCACGTAGTGAACCTCGTCCGTTTGAGTTTCGAATTAGTATGAAATAGAGTCGTTAAACCGTTTTGCTGTGGTCCTCTTTAGGATCTTAAAAGGGCGTCTTTTGGATCTAATCTCGATTATGAAATTAGCTTAATTAAGTTACGGTTCATTAAATTGTTGTAAACTCAAGACAATGATTTTATTATTATTTCAGTTTAGTTTTGATTTTTTATTTGATTGTAGGTCCTTTTTTACCCCCAAGGCAGGCAGTTTTCATGAAGTCCCGTCGCCTGGAGAGGACGACAGGGACTGTTAGTCGAGAGACTGGGGTGGGTTTTAGTCAGTAAGACTAAACCCAGTCTCTCGTGTCACACGTGGGTAAGAAGGTGCGGGGTACGAAATTCTTCCGCAGCCCTCAAACTGGTTGCGGCCTGACAAGACAGGCCGCACCTCAAGATGCACAGAGGAGTGAGGTGTGTAGACCCTGGACTGGATTCATCATCATCATCATCATCATCATCATCATCAACAGCCTATAAATGCCCAAACCTCTTCTCGCACGCAGACTACAAACTTATAATTAGAAATTATAAGCCCAGGTTTCCTCACGATGTTTTCCTTCACCGTTTGTCAGTGGTGTCTAGATAATCTTAGAAAGTACATATAACTCGGAAAAAGTCACATTGGTACTTGCCGTGCGTTGGTAGATTTCGATTCGAACCTGTCCCCTCATGCATGAGAAGTGGGCGTCTTAAACCACCGGGCCACCACGACATTTATAAGGACAAAAACAATGAAACTTGTAATAACAATAATAGAATAATCCAAAGTAAAGCAGGACAAAGTTATTAACAACATTTGTCATTGAATCATATCGTTGACATGTTGGTAAAAATGACTCCCCTTGATGATTTCCAGACAAATCGGTCGCATATGACCTTCTTCTAGTAGCTCCTTGCAAGTTCTACTAGGGTAACTAGACACTTAACCTCTCATCTATCGGAATTTGGGACACAATAGAAAACACATTGAGTCTTGCATATATCTACGTAGGTACCAGGAGTTAATTGCATCATACATTCAATGTAAAATACCAAATTCCACACTAAATAAACCGTTCACACCCTGTACAACAGCACATACAATATTTCACCCCGAGTTTGCCTGAACAGCTGTTATAAATCACAATGCTCTTCGCACGCATTCACAATTACTGTAATGGCGCATAAAAACGATAATTTTCGAAGAAAATTCTCTTATTTTTCTCGAATGAGGTCACTGGAACGTGTCGTTTTAAATTATAATTGGTGGAAAATGAGTAATTATAGACGGACATGAAGAAATCACATCTATTCATTATTAGGGAATGGAACATGGAACATACAGTTTTTTTTTTCAAGAGGGAAAATCGTCAAAGGACTGCTCCCACCTGGGTGAGGCGGGAGGGAGTGTCAGATTCTTACTGATTAAAAACTACCACGTTCCTACTCCTGCACTTCGAGCCGGTGCCCCGGTAACCCGTTAAGTTCTCCGCGGCTCCGTATCAGCCCTATTGGGCCCCATCCGTGGTGGTCTGATGGCTCTTTGAGACGCGCGCGGAACGCGACGCGCCGCACGCTCGGATATGGAACTTACAGTGACTAGACTTATGTCTAAGGACTCAAACGCGACATATCGCATTAAAGGATAGTTCTGTCACTACAAATTCTTTTTAAAATGAAAGAGATGGCACTACATTTAAATACAACTTAAAATTGAGTAGCCTTTCAATATTCGAGCGTTAGCTTTTAGCAATAAGATTCATTATCAGACAGTTCACTGGTGGAATTCAAGGTCTTCACCTACATAAGACAGTGTGCTATAATGTCTACTACGCTCGACAAGCCGCTTAGAGATTGTAGTTGAAAAGGTTCCAGTTTGCAAAAACTGCAAGCTACACTTTAACTATCTGTAAAAACAATCACAATTAATTAAGTAACAACAGCTTTTAAAAAACCAGAGCTTAATGTATATCTGCATAAATAAGTACTGCACGGTTGGTGCGGTGGCTGGGCCCCGGCTGCCATGCAACGTGTCGCGGGTTCGATTCCCGCACGGAACAACACTTTGTATGATCTACAAATTGTTGTTTCGGGTCTGGGTGTCATTGTATATGTGAACTTATATGTTTGTAAACGCACCCACGACACAGGAGAAAATCCTAGGATTTTCTATTCTATAAAAAAGTACCATTAACACCATAATAAACTACTCCAATCTCCCCCTGAAAAAGGGAACTCCTAAAACGATTTAAACGGGGATATTAAAAAATCCTAGCGACCTTCAACAACAGTAAATCCAATTTAATACACGAACAGTGCCCTACAGTCTTCGTAAAATGGTTATGACCAAACAAATTCGCACTGGCGTTATGACGTCACATATTCGTAAAATGGCCGAAGGGGAAAAAATATAAGAAACAATCAGCGAGAATTTACAGCTGCTTCAAGTTTAATGTGCCGATCCTGCGCTGTTATAATGACTCACGGTAGCCAGCGGTGCAAGGGAGGAGACGAAGCGATTTGATAATGTACGATGACTTTATTAACCTGGATATGGATATAAGCTGAAGCTGTCACATTCTGACTATAATAACTTATTGACATTTAATTGTGGCTGTTCAGTTTGTCTGCCGAGCCACGGTTTCGGGTCACACTCAACCAGCTTATAATTGAGCTTCAAAATTGATCGGGTATGCTGAGGGCCGAGCACGAACAACTATCACATTCGTATCGTAACAGTATCGAGTGAGTTAAGCGTTCTTATTGGTTGTTTCACTTGAGCCGGCCAATCAGAGCGCCGAACGCGCTCGATACTATTACTTTACGAATGCGATAGTTATTCATGCTAGGCACTCTGGGTCTAAGGCAACAGGTACTTTTTTATATGGAACTCACAGTAGGTGTCACAGTGCTCATTGTCTACTTCTCCGAGGTTTAAAACGCTGACAATCATGATAAAACAAACGATACATCCCCACCGCCAAACGCTCACCTCAAACACCACACCCCGTAACAATACAGGGTGCTCGTAAAAAATGCTCTAAACATCCAACTCAGGCCGTAAACGTGAATAAACGTCTACGTTGTTACGTTGAATAGTAAACCTACCTCCAGGTGTTTGTTCAGCACTGAATATTCATGAATTGTAAACTTCAGGCGATAAATTCGTTATGTCTTATCGTTTATCTGTTCCTAATAAAGCTTGAGATTGTAAACACTTTGTTGTTTTCTCAACTTGTAGAATTTCTTCTGAAAACTTCGACGATTTTAAGTCTGCGAGCTAAATTTCGTTGCGAAGTGCTTTAGGGTGTATTAAGAATGAATCACTTTTAATATTGTTCTGTTAGTCTGGTGTTGAAATATTTTAACTAAATTCCTGCTCGAGCAGAACTTCTTTTTGTTTAGGCTTCGCAATAAAATTTGGCACATCATAACCGTCCTAATAAACTTGATACAATTACTCTTACTGTTTGCCTAGACATATTCAAGAAGAAACATCAACAGTTCATACACAAATTTCAGCTGACAAGTACCGTAGGTCGGGTTTATCAGAGAGCGTTGCTCTCTGGCAAATATGTAGGGTGGACTACGCATTTTTTTTTTTTTTTAAGGGGGGAAAATCATCGAATGACTGCTCCCGCCTGGGTGAGGCGGAAGGGAGTGTCAGACTCTTACTGACTAAAAACCACCCCGTTCCTTCTCCTGCACGTCGAGCCGGAGCCCCGGTTACCCGTTAGGTTCAGGGTGGACTACGCATAGTCACATCTTATAGTGATATTGTCAATAATGAAGGTGGTGAAAAATCTATTCTACTGCATCATCACTGATGCTAAGAACCTTGTCAGTGAATGCTAAGAGAACCTGGGACGTTAAAGCGCACCAACGCATCGATCCTATCTCAACTTCGGATAAAAATCCGGTTGTCCACCATATCCAGCAACGTATCCTTTCTTACTTCGGCCACACAGTCCGCAGGTGCGACGAGAACCTGGAGAAGCTGATTGTTGTTGGCAACACCGAAGGCAAGAGATCGCGTGGGCATTCTCCAACAAGACGGACCGATCAAATAAAAGACTGGTCCTCAAAATTTTGCATGGCTGTAAGAGACGCGCTCCAGATGCAATCCTGATGCTGACCACAATCCTCAGATATGAGGGAACGACTGAAGAGAGAGAGACAGAAAGAGAGAGAGAGCATCATTACCACGCTGCTATTAGCTCCAGGTCACTTCAACTACCAAGAACCAAAGATAAGTTGCACCCAGCTCTCCAAACTCGACTCATAGTTTACTACGCACTTGGCTCTAAAACGCTCCTGTCCCTTGTTTTATAGCTTCTTTATAGCCGACCTTAGGAATTAAATCTTCAGTTTTATTTTACACTCCAATATATTAAGTTTAGTATACTACTACTAAACCTTTGTCAGTGGAACTGTTAAACTTCTATTAGCTACGTAATTTTTGTCAATAAACTTTATTACCTCATTTTTTTATTAACTAGCTTTTTATAATGATGAGCTACTTTTTGGAGGTTTTTATTTTCATAGGTATTTTTTTTTTAATTATTCTAAATGTGAGAGCGCTGTAACTATCTAAATTGGAGTGGCTTGGAGTTGTCATGCTCACTCATAAGTCAGTGGCAGTGGCACAGGCAGTGGGTCGCTCGATTACTAACAATATGGTTGGGTTGGGCGGTGTTGGTGTACGTGTCATGGTCGTGAACGGGCGCTGTCGACTGG